GTGTGCATATCTGTACGAAATACTATGATCCCCTCAGATCGCTGGGTCTTAGTGCAACTGGTCGGTAATCGAACCCTCAGGGTGCTTTTTTTTCAACTTGGACTTTTTAATTCTGGTCAAAATAAGGTTAAAATGAAAAAGTACACATTATGATTGGTATGTTTTAGGTGAATTACGGTAATTATTATGGTAAAAGTGCAGCACAGTGATCAAAGACTGAGGGCCTCTCTCTGACGGCGATCAAAAGGCAAAGAGTTTCCACATCACGTGGGTGGAGAGTAAAGTGGAAATACGCACTTGTGTGTGTCTGTGTCTGTGTGTGTGAGTGTATCATGTGATGTTGGGGTTTTGTGTGTATTCCTGAGAAGTGACTGTTCACAGGTTATGGTGAGGTTTCGCTTTAATCGTTACGAGGTTCAGGATTACAATAGCTCCTTTTTTGACCTGTTAACCTCAGTACACAATAGCTCCTAAAAGTCTGTATCTTGCAAAGCTTCAGTAAGATTTCTTATGTAAGATACACTTACCTGAGATGTAATGAAACTCAGCTATGTTTTTGTTAAGTCTAGATTATGAAATGGATGATTGCATAAAAACAGTACCAGCTCTGTCCAGCGTTTCTCTGGAAATCAAGCTAAGAATGTGACCAAATTTGGACGAGGTGTTAACAAAGAATCAGATAAGTTTTTGAAATGTGATCACTTAAGCACACATGAAGTATTTCCAAAAAGCGGAAAAAGGAGGAAGAATGAAAATTCTTGAGAAAAGAGATGGTAAGTCATCTGATTGTCAAAGAGAGGAATTGACTTTTCACCTCAGTCTCTGATGCAAATGGGACTCTATAGGACATAGAGAAAACACTAAGACAAAACTAGATAAAGTATAACAATATATTGTAGAACACCAAAAAATACACTCCTCGTTATATTCACTTATGCATACTTTGAATCATCATGTCCTTTTAAAGTCACTAAACACAGTCTTTTCTGGGAGTCCCTGAGCTTTAGTCCCTTATTCTGTAGGTTCCTCTGGATCGCTGCTGCAGATGTCTTACCATTATGGATCTGTCTGCTTTCTTGCTGCGTCAACTATTACCATCATTTTGATCACAATAACAAAACAAACACTTCAGCACTGTAAGACCCACTGCAGTGTAAATCATGTTTTTCTTGTTTTTTATATGTTCGTATGGCACGAAAACTAAATGCGAAATTGCTTTTCTGAGTATTTCTGCATCGAGATCGCTGTGAATCTCTGGCAGACCCAAGCGGCAGACTCAGAAACAGTGAGATTTCCTATGTAATCAATCCAAGCTCCGCCCCCTGAGCCCCGCTATGCAGGCCACACTCTGCATATAGAGGAGAAATACAAAGGACGATCCCGGAACAAGCATATGCGTTAGCGGATTGCAATGCTCGCAAGAAAGCTAATTATGATATTAGCTTTCATTGTGTCCTTAAAGAGCTGAATAGCTCCTATGTTACCTGCCACTTTTACTATGCTGGCAATATTCGGTTGCAAGCTAACGTAAAGAGGAGTGTGCAGAGCAGCGCTGTCTCCGCCCACGACTCTGAGGCGAATTGCTAATGATTTACTGGAGCTCTGAAAATGACACAGGTAACACAATTTTGGCTTAAAAACATCATAATCACAATTTCAAGACCATTGAGAACACTTTAAGTAGTAAAAAACTATCGGAGTGCTATCACTGTTTCTGTCTGCCTCTATTCACCTCTCTTATTCTGCATCTCTCTCTATCCTCTTTCTGAACAAATGACAATTTAACACGAGTCTGGTTCAGCTCAAGTTTTCTGCCTATTAAAAATACGCTTTTTTGTGATTGATTTAACTGATTTATTGAAACAGTTCGTATGCGAGCCATGTCCTGCATGCACACTGAGATTACCATTTACCTCAGACACCTCTCTGTTCGTCTCTGACGTCATGGCCTTTGGTGATCTCGTCGTCTGATTCTTGACTAAGTGTCAAAAATAATGACTGTGAGAACTGTTGTGAATACAGCAGTACGGTGTTTTTTTCTTGTACTCCTGACCACTATGTTATCTTCCTGCCCACCGTTCGGTGCAGACATGATGAATATTAAAAACCCACATTCAGACTGCAGCTGAATTTCTGCAGAACTGATTCAGAGTGACTTTCTTTCCAGCTTTTTTTTCTTCCATCATAATTTGGATCCACTTTTCCTGATCATCTGTGTGTACCTCAGTGTGTGCACGTCTGTGTTTTAGGTACACCATCTGGCATCCGGGGGAGCACATCATCAAAACACCATTTAGCTCAGACACCTCTTTGCTCTTGTGCAGATACAATCTCTAAAACCACATAAAAAGGGGGTTAGAAAAGGTGGGTGTATCATCATAATGTCTGACACTTCACCGAAAAGCTGACAGCTGTCTCAACTCGTGACCTTTTGACGATCTCTCCAACTGACTTTTGCAACTGTGGAGGCAAGAAGTGACCACAAAATAAAGTTTTCTTTTACTTCCACAGAAACAATTTCTACAGAATTGAAAGTGTACAGTGCAACCTCGAGCTGAACCTGACCTTTGACCTCTTTAAAGGCAAAGTAAATGCATCCTTCTTACAGGTGTACCCCTTAAATCCCAACCACCGTGTGTAAAAATGAAGTTAAAATTACACTTCAGATCAGCGCCAACACTATTGGCAGAATTGTCTGTTTTTTGCCATCCTGATTTAAAGCCATTTTTGAGTCGTGTGTGTTCTTTGGCGCGCGTGTGTTAGTGTTGTAAAAGCACTGGCGTGGTGTCAAATCATCACAATAAGTCGATTATGCGCACAACAGAAAGCCATCTTTTCAAAATTGTAGGTAATTTGATTTTTCATTTCACCCTCTGCTGTTTCCAGACCTCAACAGGGAGCCAGTACAGCCAGCACTTCATGGGACCCCTAATGATGAGGCTCTTTGTGCGTCTTTATGACAAAAACAAGATAAAGTACAACTTGACACTATTACATACACTAATATTGACTTTTTTCCTCATTCTTAATCAATTCTGTATGGAGTGCCGTTTGTAAAGCTGCTCATGCTGAAAATAACGGCCACATTTTGTCACATTTAGCTTCAAACCGTGTTTAAAAAGTGGCGTGAGTCACTTTTTGGCACATTTATATATATTAATTGTGATAAATCTAGATACTAAATCTAAATGTCCAATGTTAACCCGATGCTACGCGAAATGGAGAACTCACTTACCTCCTCCAGCTTTTATTTATTTTGGTATTTTGGGTAACCACCAACCGAATTTGCATATTATTTTAATATTTAGTTTCACTCGAAACATTTAGATTTGACATTTAACATTTCGGTGCAACATACAATATTTAGATTTAACTATTAAGTATATTTCTAAGTTCACAAATATTGTTGTAAATGTGCTAAAAAGTGAGTTCCTGAAGTTAAATGTGACAAAATGTCGCTGTTATTTTTAGCATGAGCAGCTTTACAAACAGCATCCCATAATTCTGTCCCATATTTAAAAGGCCTACGATATTGTAAGATGAAACTCTAAGCCAAAAAAATACTTTAAATAATAAATTTAAAGAATTTAATGAAACATTTTGACCTAATGAGTCATAAAAAAATAGAAATTAACCTTAAAGTTGATCTTTTATTTCAAATCAAGTGTAAAGTTTTGACATTTGAGTTTTTATAGACTTTTCTTTCAAGATGCTATTTAGACAACTTTTATATAACATCACCATCATGTATAGTTAATAATTGTGCAAAATAGAATCCCTTTTTGGATGGCCAAGGCTCTGTTACAACCGCACAGTTACCATATGCAAGGTGTAGGCAAATCTACCTTATTGATAAAGATTAAATCTTCTTTTGACACAGAAAGCATCTTGAACAGAGAATAAAACCCTTAAAGTTGATATTTTTAACATCTTTTAAATAAGATGATGTTTTTAATGTCTTTAAATGAAATGATCACAGTGAAATAAAGTTAAAGTTGAGATCTACAGATACAACAATAAGCCGAATGAGTGTTCAGAACTGTGTCCTCTTCACTTTTTTGGTCTCGATCGGGTCTTCTCTGTGGGATAAAAAAACTTCTATGTGTCACAAAAGCAGCACAGGTTTTATCCTCTGAAAGCTGCCGGTCTCATGAATCAAGTGGATTTTACTGTAAGTCGCTTTGTGGGAGAGATGGGAGTAAAACTCATATTTGTTCACAAAAGTTTTCTGCTTTTTCACTGTACATCTGTGTCTTTTGTTGACTCTGAAAGGATCATCAAATTACCTCACTGTCTTTCCAAAAAAAACTTGCTCATCTTAATGCCCTTTAATGGGAAACTGGCCTTATAGGGAGATTACATCACCACACTTCTATGTAAATCTAGATCAGATACCTTGTACCTTCACATATCTCCTTTCAGCATTTTCATGAGAATTTGACCTCTTGCTCAACAAGAAGAAGTGGTAACATGGAATTTTGTTATTGGTACAATAAAAGTGATTTCCTCTTTCCAAGTAATCAGACATGAACAGGTCGTCTGTTTGGCCAGCCGAATCAGCAGATGATCCAACCACCACACAGTCAGCGGGTTAATCATTAACTACTAACATACAGTAGAATCTGAGTGTGTTTGTATGAGAGTCCATTGGCCAGATGGGAGACTGAGAGTAAGTAATTGGTAGTACTCTGTGTGTGTGTGTAGCCTGAGGTAACCTTTCCCCATAAAGCTTGACTCTTGACGGTTTTGCAGACTCAGTCACTCAGTCTTCTTCTGCCTTTGTTGCAACCCCCCTCCTGGTTGTTGTCGTTATGGTATCCACCTTCAGAGCCAAGAAATACCAAAAATATGTCGAAAGCACTTCAGGCTCAGTCTAATTCCTGGAAGAGCAGGAACACAAATTGAGTGCAGAGGAAAATATTGGAAAGCTGCATGGAAACAACTTGGCTGATTAAAAAAAAGAGAGAGAACAGAAATATGGCGTCCATATTTCTTTACTCATGCACCTGGCTGTAGCGCATGACCACCTCATTAAAGCTAAATCCAAGCTTCTGTGTGTGGAGACAGGGGGAGGGATGTATGGGGTATGTGTGGAGGGCAAGAGACTTGGCGCGAACTGCAACTATGAGCTAATGCAAGGCCTCCCAATCTTGATTTGCTTCTTCCCCCCAGGGGCACGCGCTGTGTGGGAAGCTTTACGGTGTGCATTTTAGGGCCCCTTTGGTGATTTGCAGCAGGGTGGACCTTGCATCGCTGGTAGAGGGCACAGGCGGAGAGAATTTAGATATTAAAGGGCACATTGCGACCATCCCGCCGCTCTGTTTGTTTTGGCAGCAGCCGCACGTCTACGGGAATGAGCACACACACATGGCGGCCGTGCCAACGCGATGGCGCTGCACCCAGAAACGGCACTCAGCAGACGTAGAAGTTGACAGATGTTAGTGGTGCAAAATGGAAACAAGTTCTATCCTTGGAAACAGTGCATGATTGTTTGTTTGTTTACCATATGAGCGTATGACTCAGAGCAGCTTTGAGAAGGAGACATCAGCCCACCACACACAGCGGAGGCACCATAATGTGAGCCTTTGTTCTGCATCCGCACGAAAAAGATCAAAAATGGGTCAAAAAGGCGCTGCAAACACTAAACAAAGGAATTTTCCTCTGATGAGACGCAGCCTTAGGTGGCATCCACATGAAAGCCTCCTGGTTAACTTGATATTTCGCGCAACTAGCTTCTGCAGAAAGTGATAGACACAAAACTGAATGTTAGGTCATAAAAAGTGATAGATTCCAGGCCTGCAAATACTTCAAGAAAGAAGGTCAGAGTTGCAAATAAAAGTGGCTCAGATAAGAAAAGTTTAATGCATCCGGCTGCAGAAAAATGAGTGTTTGCACAAACAAGAGGAAACTGTTATTAAATTGCGGCCACTTCAGGACACATTGTAGGATTTACAGTAACAGAGTAGAATAGGAGGAAATCTTGCCAAGGCACACACACACACACACACACACACACACACACCCTGATGTGGCCTTACTGGAACTATGCCCTCTTGATTTCCTCAAATGACACCTGTTAGTCACCCTGTGCAGGCCGTTTGAAATAGAGAATAGCTTGTAATAGATTCCTTAACAACACTTAAACAGGTTTTATGGGTACGATACAAAAGGCTCCGCGTGATTTCTCCCTCTCTGGAGTTCCTGAAAGTGTAATTAAGCACTCTTTCTGACATAACTACTGTTTATGTTTGACCTTGTTTTTTAAGGCTATATAAAACTAAAGTAGATGGAAACATAATGACTACTTTGAACTGTTAGTGGCATAAAGTAAAAAGAAAGTCAGTTGCATTCCTGGTGTTTAACAGCAAGGCGTGTAATTGGACGAGCTAAGAGAATGAACCAATGCTGACACCTAGTGGATAGCGCAAAAATTCATCCAGCTGCAGAGGGGGGTGTCTGATCAATATGACCGATGTTCACGTTGTCCATCTGGATGATTAATTACCCCCCCTACAGGCTCGCTGCATGCATAATGAGTCAGTGATAAACCCTGAATGAGCTCCATATCTCAGAGACAACAAAAGAGGAAATTTAAAACGGTTTTAGCCGGTTGTTGTTTGTTTTATTGGTTCTTTCCTAATTTTTAGAAGTCATTATAACCATGTAGTTATGTTAATTAGAGAAAATAGTGAGCGTTGTCCATTTACGTGTAAGGTAGAGATGATTCAGTCCACCAATTCCCACTCAAGTGTTGTAAGCTGGAGGAAATCTATTTTCTGCACGGCATCTTTTACTCCTATATCCAATATCTTGCACATCCCTGCAAGAGTGCTCTTCTTTGCCACTTTGAAAATAGATATTTATGAATATAACCACGTCTTCGGTTATATATTATCCCCATTTTGTTTGTTATTGCTCTAAATATTTAATTCAAATTTGCATTTATTGCTCCTTTCCTCTTTTTTCCCTCTGTTATGTATGATTGGACCATGGTTATTCCTGCAAATGTTAGACCTATTGGTGTTTGTTTGTTTTTTTGCAGCTTCTTTGTTTTTCATAAAGTCCCATCCACTGGAGGAGTTGTCACGATATTCTACATGACATTATTACCCAGCTTCCCCATCTATTGGTGGTTAATGGCTGGCCAAGGGACAAAAGGGAAAGACGACTAAAGACAGAGAAAAAAACGCAAGGAACACTCTGCAGACCAGGTGCTCATGGAAAGTAGAGGTGGGAGAAAAAATTGATACAGCATAGTATCACGATATTTTGTATGGTGATATATCGTCTCATTTACCAAGTTGTGATTTTTTCAAAGTCAAATCTATGACAATGGAAAAATACAATCAGCTGTTTGTTCAGTGAAGTTGGCAGAGGTGACATCGTAGAGCAAGAGACAGTTAGTACAACAAATATAAATAAGTTTTGCAAGACGTGCTATATGAACATAAAATACAGCACAAATAAGACAAACAAAAAGGAAAAACAAATGCTAAATTAGCTAAACAGTGAAAAAAATTGTATAAATCGTAATATATGGTATTACAATACTAACTGTCTTGCAAAATGTAAGAATCGCCATCGTATCATGGCATCAAGGCCCAAGTATCGTGATAATATCATATTGTGGTCCAAATATCGTCATCATATCGTATCATGGCCCAAGTATTGTGATAATATCGTACCGGGCCCAAGAATCGTGACAATATCATATCATGGCCCAAGTATCGTGATAATATCGTACCGGGCACAAGTATCGTGATAACATTGTATTGTGGCCCAATTATCGTGATAATATCCAATCATGGCCTAAGTATCGTTATAATATCCAATTGTGGCCCAAGTATCGTAAAAATGTTGTTTCATGGCCCAAGTATCGTGATAATATCCAATCGTGGCACAAGTATCGTGATAATATTGTACTGGGCCCAAGTATCGTGATAATATCGTATTGTGGCCCAAGTATTGTGATAATATCGTATTGTGGGGCCACCGGTGATTACCACACCTAATGGAAAAGCGGATCGATCAAATCGAAGAAAACAGACAGAAAAGCAACAACAAACTGCATCACAGCGCGGGTTTCTGCAGAGTTATGAGACTGGCTGAGTAAAAATACCATCAGAAACATCTCAGGAAAGGAGACTTGACGGGCGCAGCTGTTATTTTCTGCGTCTGTCAAGAATGCTTATGACAGATTGCTAATATGAAGACTTAACGATGTATTAAAATGTCAAGTCTAATATTTGCTAGATCTGCAAATTGGCTGAAAAGGGAAGCAAACTGCTGCCGTGGAAGTACTACCTTCAACTGTAATGAATCGTCCCTAAATCAGACCTGTCGACCTTATTCAGTCTGCAGCTGATATCGTTTTGTTTTGATTCCATGTGGCGTAACCACCAGCTAACTTTACATTATCTCTTTCTTTTGAAACTTTTATTGGACTTTGGTAATTCTGAAATTCATCCGTGTCCTAAAAAGAGAGATAAGACGTGCAGAAGAAGCTTTGAGTGACAGGATAAACTTGTTTGAAAAAGCTTTTGTAAATATTTTTCATGTCCGACTTTGTCATCAAAATATGTAAATTAATTTTCAGACAGAGTTATCTCCAAGCTCTGCAGCTCCCATCAGCTTCTGTTGACCCTTTTAGCCTCTTCCAGCTAATTGTTTTGGTTAAATGGCCCATAATTTATCTGCTTTTATTTAATCCCAGCGCTGTTTCAACTCATGACACGGTGAGCAACTGCGTTTTTGTTGATAAGGTCTGAAGTGGAAGTTCGGTGAAAATATATTCGAGCATTTACTCGCTAAAAATTTCCCCCAGGAGCTGTTGGAGAGCGAAAAACAGGGGAGTGAATATTGGACTTATTTTGGTGGGCTGCCAGAGACTCCAAATGAATGCTAATGCTGCCTGAGGTCTGCTGCATGTATTAACAGGCAGATGTTTGCTCCATGACTTTCACTGCACGGATGTGTTAGTGCTTTTATTCTCTCTTAAGTTCAATTAGCATCATCGCACGAACATTGCAACAGCTGAATTTCTTTGTCAGGATTAAGATGCAGACTTTACAAAAGATGCATGTGTCATTTATTGTGAATTCCCATCTGATTGGAAATCTTTGCAGCGACACAATCTGAACAAATAGCAGGATTTTTTTTCCTTCTTAAGTGTCCTTTGCTTTGTTCACTCTCTAAGTGTCTTTCACAGTCTCCCCCTGCAACTCACAAGAAGTTTAATCACAGCATCTGCTTCAATTATTTCCCTCACAGACTACTGAGATTTTCTCCACAAGGACTCAAAGCAGCTTCCGGAGCTCCAGAATTAGAAAAACACACGCTGTTTTTTTCTGGCCTTGAAGGTTTACATAAACCACCAGGATTCAGGTGTTGTGTTAAATCAAATTGGGCTTCATGTGTGTCATGCTTTATTGCCTTTTGTCTCTGGGAGGCATGACGCCCGATGCAGCTGCAGCCACCCCTGCGTGACATTTCCAGGCAGCGTGAGGCATGAAGCCGGTTTCTCTCTGACAATTTACTTCCTGCCCTCTTTGCATTTTTTTTGCTGGCTTCATTTAACCTCATTAAAACTCACTTTCTCTGTGGTTGCGAGCAATTTGGCGGCATTATGTGGGGAAGCTGCGCCGTGGAGATAAGAATACATTCGTCTGGACGGGAACAGTTTGTCATTGTTCCCTGAAATAAGCCAGAAAGAAAGATGGAGAAGAGGGTGACAAAGGTGGAGGGATATAAGACCGTTTGGTGTTGCACTCTTTGGCCCCGTTCTCCATTTACCTTTCTCTTGGGTCACGGTGCACAGTGTTGTTTTTTTCCACTTAATCAACAGGAAGGTGGCTATTCTTTTCACAGAGGGATTGTGTGATTGATCCTGCTATTCATTATATTGTCTCCCTCTGTCCCTCATTTTTGTTTACAAACTTCCAAAGGGAGGCTTTTCATTTTTCTTCCTTCTGAGCTGAACAAGGTTGAATTATTAGAAAAAATGATTTTTTTTTCACTCCGCTATCTAGTTTTTTTTATCTCAGATCACGCCAAGGTCTGTAACAGTGCTATTTAAACAGGTCAATTTGAGTCACATTTAAAGCTGTTATTTCAGCAGGAATTCAAGCTTTCATTTAAACAGAACTATAGAAATGTTTATAAGTCCAAAACCCTTGAACCCATTTAAATCCCAGCTGTCCAACAGTTCTGAATTTTTACATAACTCAGTCAGGAGAGACACTGTGAGGACTTAAACATGAGCATTAGCTGTGAAGATGATGTGACAGTAAATTATGTTAAAAAATGGGTGTCTGCTCTGAGCCGCAGCTGAATCCATCCTCTTATGGATTCAGTCGCCGCTGGTGCAGGTGATGGCCTATAATGTCACCTATAAAGCTATTTCAGAAGACCTGCAGAGACCGAGCAATGATGGGATGATATCA